CCCTGAATGGTAGTGATGAGCCACGATTAAGTGGGTGCCATTAACTGTCTCAGAGAGAGAAAAAGGGCAGATGAAATCAGAGCTGACACCCACATGAGAGGCAGAGGGTGACAGCGACTGGATCTGACAGGATAATGTGCTCTAATTACAGCCCCAGCAAACAACAATGCCTAATGGTTTTAAGATAATGTCCTTTAATTTGACTTGTTCATGCTGTGAGTGCACAAGTATATCCTTCATTTTATTAAAATTTCTGTAAGATGCAGACCAGGATACAGAGATGATGTTTCTAGGTCAAGTTTCACTGATTTAATGAGAATAATCTCTCATGAACTTGCACTCATGAGAGCACTCTCATAATAAAAAAGAGTCTTTAAAATAATGAGCTTTCCGGTCATGTAACGCAAAGTACACACTGAACTTTGGTCAACTGTTCCTCGTTAAAGTCCTCCTATATGAAGGGGGTGTGTTCTGTGGGCTTCGTATTGTTTATTGTGGTTGTCACGTGAGGCTGCCAACCAATGACCGCCGCGTTCTACCACCGCACAGCGTGTCATCTTTTTACACACCATCGACCAATCAGCGTTGTCAAGTCAGTCATAATAAGAGAGGAAATTGGTTTACCTATCCTTCAAAATAAAAGCATTTGGAGATAACTGTCCTTACAGCCTTTGTTTTACTTATAATCTTGTCTTATTTAACCTTTTAGGCCTTTTATTGATTTTATTGTTTTTTCCTGCTCATTTTTGTTATTCCATTTTATCACCACTATGAGTATCATTATTATTTCATTATAATTATTAATATCATCGTTTTATATGTACTATCTTGTTTCCTGCTTTTTACCCCCCTTTTTTATTACATTTCTTTTTCTTATCTATTTTATGTTTTTATTTTGGTCCTCATGGTCTCATTTTATGTTGAAGGGTTCTTGTATTGACCGGGGTCCTTATGACAAATGAAATAAGCCTTCAATTGGAGGCCTTGTTTTTAACTGAGCTTTTGTTTTTTATCTGTTTTTATTTCCATGGGATTATGTTCTCTGCTTTACGACTTTTTGTCAAAGCACTTTGTAAACATCTGTTTTTAAAAATGCTACAAAAATATAGTTGTTATTATTATTATTATTATTATTATTATTATTATTATTATTATTATTATATCATCATCATCAATATTATTATTATTATTATTATTATTCACGACTGTTCATCAAAGCACTTTATAAACTTCTGTTTTTAAAAGTGCTATAAAAATAAAGGTATTATTATTATTATTATTATTATTATTATTATTATTATTATTATTATCTCCAACCAATTTAGCTAACTAGATCACCTTAACATGACTTTATCTTGAGTTGTTGTTTGTAAATGTTTTAAGTTGGGATTTTTAAAGGAATAGTATTGGGTTTTAACTCATTTTAAATGGTAGACAAGCACGAACGTTATAATAATCAGACTCCATGCTCACTTGCTTCTTGCGCTTCGTCACTAAAGAGGCTTTTATTTTGAAACAGCATACCGGAAGTTCCCTTATATTTACCCGTTACCTTGGCAGGTATGGAGCTCAACATGCTACGGATTTGATACCGTCCCGGCGGCCAGTACGCTGCTGGCCGTCACCCACGGCAGGTGTTTCCGTCTCCTTTACGCTACATGCGCTCATCATGTCGATGTTAACGTCGTCGCCGCCGCCGTACCGACCGCGTGCATCTCCTCCGTGCTGCAGATCGATCATGTAGATCCATCTCACGTGCGGAGAGGGAAGTTCATCTCCAGCGACCTGAGTGAGGAGAGGCGGACAATTGTGCTGCGGATTACACGGAGCAGTACGGTAAGTGGAAACGGATTTTCTAAAGGTGTGTTATGTGGAGGCAGGAGATGATGGGAAGATAAGATGTTTTCAGAGTTTTTAGAAGGTGCATCATATTTTATTTAGTTTTTTATGTGGGATATTTCTCCAGATTTGTATTTATTGACAACTGAAACTTTAACAGGACGTTAACTTGTTGTCAGAAGACTCAAACTGGACCTGCCAATAATTCCTTATGTTACAAATTACATCTCTCTGTAGCGTGAGAACAATTGATGCTGTAAAAGGAAGTCTAATCCATTAAGACCTCTTACCACATGTTAATGTTGACTCTTTAGCTGCTGGCACACTTGACTGGTGAACCTGTTCTTTGTGGTTTCTTGGCTTCATGCAGTGGTTAGAGACAGTAAGCTGAATGACTGCCTGTCCGTAAAAACACCACTGATCCCATCAAAGCTCTGCTGAGGTCTGACCTTGTGAGGTCTGAACATGCTCCTTAGTTAAATATGTGCAGGCTAAAAGAGCATTAGGGTGTCTGTTTTTATATATTGTCAGGAGGTATCTTATAGAAGTGTTTAAATAAAACCTATGAGGCTGCTTTTATCTGTCCTTTACCTCAAACAAATCTGTATGCCAGACCTCGCCTCTGTGGGCTGATTTAATTTAACTTCCCATTGTCAGTCGGAGGCAGTGCTCAGAGCCTCCCCAGCTGCCTCTTACATAATATCAGCCCAGGACCGCCACAGTTTAGTGAGCGGGAGAGGGGGGGACTCAGGCCAAACTGAACACAGACAATACTGAAGGGGGCCAGATTACCACGTTACATAAGGGATGTTTTCTTTCCACTCAGCTGGGATGATGCAGATGATGGTGGTCCAGAAATAGGTCTGAGTGAAGGAGTAAGGGATGCTGCGCACACTATATGTACCAGAAGGAGAGGAAGAGTACACAGACGAGCCTGGTAATGCTCAGCGAGAGTGGTAAATGTTTGTTGTTGGAGTTATTGTGCTCCGTTGCACACAATGAGCCCTCAAAGATGTATGAGTGTAGAGTCCTTTCAGAGAGGCGGAGAGGAGACGTCTGGCTGTTTCCATCTGCGTTATCTCATCTGCAAAGCGTACTGTCGCCATACGGGGTTTTACAGGTTGAATGGCTCTGTTTTGAGTTTGTTATTGTGCATTTTCATACGTCACTAAAGGTAGATAAGGTTGTGTACTGGCTCAAAATCAGATGCAACTGAGAAAAGTTGATGTACAATAATAACCTAACGTAAAACTCTTGCTGTGAAATCACCAACTTGAAGAGTTTCCTGTTTTCAACAAGTCTTTTGCAGAGTGACAGAGATTTGTGTCTCTTTAGGATCTCCTGATTAGTGAAAGTTGTTATTGCAGACTCTAACCAGCTGGTTTCAACAGTCGCTGCCAACATACAGCTTTGATTTTGGAAAGAATCAGGTCAAGCTGTCTCTTCACTTTAGCACCTACACTTAGAGAGCTCATAACTGTTCTTAGAGAAACTGATTCAGTGCTGCATGGAAGCATATGCAATGTTTTTTATTGTCGTCGTGTTCAGGAAAAAGTCACGCTGAGTACAAAATTACTGCGGTTTGATAAATTATCTTTGTAAATCTGTGGTTTGTGGTTTGAAAATCGTCTAGTGGTCACATGTGATGACAATCCTGTGGGTTTACTTTGCATAAAATCAACTTCACTACACGATACCATGCTGTGAAAGATGACCGCACACATGCTGTATGATAACAATTTTTCCTACATGATATTTTGAATAAGCACCGGGGAAAACTCTCCATCCGTGCGGTGCTGAAGGGAGCCGCAGCAGCACTGCAGGAGCTGTGGGCCGCATCCTAATAAACAGAGATGACTGCAGTGGGAGCTGTGAAGGCAGACAGAACACACACACACATACACACACACATATCACAATTACATAATCTCCAAATTTGCAAACTATTCTGCAATTTTACAGAGCGAGAAAAGAAAAAAAGCAGAACTATGAAATCCTCATTTCTGAGATAAACTGCTATTGAAGAGATGTTGCAGTAAACAGACTTCATGAATAGATTTCAAGCAGCTGTACCAGCCTTCAAAATAAACAGCAAAGGTTGAAAAGCTGCGGTAGTTTAAAGCTCTGTTGAATATTGAAAAGATTTGTTTGCTTTTTAATCAAGTTCTTGGAGTGTTATTTCCTGGTACCGTCACTTTTAGTAACCTTCGGGGACTGTAAGAGTTAATTCAGTCATATTTTAAAGCAGTAAAAGCATCTGCTTAGTTTGGTGATCACATTTACAAGGATATCTAAAGCTACAACACAGTCAGCTGATATTTATCCACGCCGTGCTTCCTGTCAGATGATGGAAAATAATTTAATTAAGCTGACTATCTATCTTCATGTGCAGACATTAACCATTATTAGTCTAAAATCCACCCCAGAATCAGTAAGAGTCATCTGAGGTTTAAAGAGATTTGTAGAAAGAGCTTTAATCTCGAATGACTTGTGACACTGAGTGAAACATTTCAATGAAAGCAGCTGTTTCCTCTCAGAGTTTGTGTTAAATGGGGAGTTAAAGTCCCTGTAGCGAGGATTTAATGCTGTTTGTGTTGTTGCTGTTGAAAATGGTCTCTGCGTTGACCTTTGGACTCTGTGGAAACAATTTAACACTTCTGAGGTGAGAATGGCCCCACTGAGCGCTCTGGAAAAACATAGACTGGCACCTCGCAATTAAACCGAGTTAATTTATGTTCCCCGCTCAGATTGTCTCGCAGTGACAGACGACCGATGACAAATCAGACCTGCTGGCTTGTTTTTATGGTTCGTCACACCGGTCTGTCCCTCTGGAGGGCTGCAGCTGGATATAAAAAGGCTGAGTGATCGTGAACGCAGTAGGTACTTCAGCTCAAAGTAGGTGGTTTGCAGTTTAATGAACACTGCTGCCTGACAGATGTTTGAGGGAGGCTACTGATTAGGGCTTCCTGCTGGCCTTGTTGGACTCTAACCAGCATGTAGAGAGGGACACCGCTGTGTTGAGAGGCGCATTGCTTTTTTCACATCCTCTAATGACAAAAAGTGGGTATTTGACGGGTTTATGATTTGATATTTAATTATGAGTTATGTGTGTGTGTCCTTGCAGACATGATACTGTGAAGCCACTGCATGTGGCAGCTTGGATGGACATGATGGAGGAGGCTGCCAGCCAGCTGGAGAGGGACCATGTGCACAGCGTCTATGACAAGATTGCTCCATATTTCAACGACAGCCGCTATAAAGCCTGGCCCAAGGTGCGGCAGTTCCTGCTGGACCTGCAGCCAGGGAGCATTGTCGCAGACATAGGTGGGTTTCACCTCCAGATATGACCTTTTAATCCCATGACACCCCATCATTAATAAAATATTAGTGCCCCAGGAGCTCAATCAGAAGTCGAACGATTTATTTCCCTTCAGAGAGATCAGGGAAGTTTGATGCTAAATCCAGCTGTAGGTGTCTTTTCACGCTGACTAAGGCTGACTGTCTTGACCTTGGCAGGTTGTGGAAATGGCAAGTATCTCCACATCAACCAGGAGGTGTTCAAGCTAGGGTGTGACGTTTGTCGCCCACTGGTGGACTACGCCTGGAGTCAGGGACATGAAGTCCAGATGTGTGACGGGCTGCTTTTGCCTTACAGAGACGGCTGCTTTGACGCTGTGCTATCGATTGCAGGTAACAGACACACACATATGGACAGGAGGTGTGTTGATTCACGAAGCTGATGAATCATAAAACTTATTATACTTCTTATTTATTCACTCACCTCTGATATTTACACAATTTTACAATAGATTTTTACTCTCTCTCCACACTTACTGCTAAGATATCCATTCACCACACAGAGTTTTGATCTTTAGGCGTAAATAACATAATTATTAATGGCACAATATTTATATATTTCAGGTCTACAGAGAAAGATTAACATGCTGTATGTGTAATGATGCTAAACATGAGAGATAATAAGTGTGTTACCGTTAGAAAAACAGGGTAATCAGAACAAAAGACAACATCTGAAGCCCACGCTGTAAATTTATTGCGGTGTACATAATGGACCTTGTTCACTGTCAATGCTAAGTGTGACACATCATAATTACATAAGTGCTTATTTGGATTTTTTTCACAGTCATCCATCATTTGTCCACCAAAGAGCGTCGTATTCGAGCAATAAAGGAGATGGCTCGCATCCTGCGAGTGGGCGGACGCATTATGATCTACGTGTGGGCCATGGAGCAGAAACGCCGTAAATTCGAGAAACAGGACATCTTCGTCCCCTGGAACCCCAACCCCCATTCACCCTCCGTCCAGCCCAGACGGAGGGCCGCAGCTCAGAGCATGAGTGAAGCCATAGACAACAGTGACAAGCACAGGAAGGTTCGAAGCACATCATCAGTGGCAGACGAAGAAGATCTGAGCTGCACCATGCCGCAGCAGAGCTCCCAGAGGCTCTGGTTCTTCTCCAGATCTCTGGATTCTGTCTTTGACTTTGGAAGCTTAGCCATCTCTCGCTCGTCCTCCAGAGACCTGAGCACTTTATCTTCACCCTCAGGTGAAAACATGGAGAGCAAGGCCCGCCAGCGAGGGAGAGGGCGAGACCTCATCAAGCAGGTGTCGAGCTTCTTCTCCCCGCCGTCTGTGATTGGATCGGAGGAGGATGTGTTTGACTCGGTCACAGACCTGCACAAGGGTCAAAACGATCCGGAAAGCACCAACATCGCCAACAACAACAACATGAGCACAGGAAATCCAAGTGTTTGTTTAGCCCAGGAGTGCGGCTCTCTGGCCCTGCCGGATCTGGTCTCTTTCCAGAAGGAGCACTTGAGGCAGTGTGGAGAGGAAAGTGAAGCTGGGCCGCAGGGAGAAGAGCAGCCAGAAAGCACAAGGAGTCTTGAGGGGAGCGTGGGGCAGGTGCAGGGCTCCTGCCTGAGGTACTATCACGTCTTCAGGGAGGGGGAGCTGGCAGAGCTGATCGAGAACCACGTGGAGGAGCTTCATGTCAAACACACTTATTTCGATCATGCCAACTGGTGTGTGGTGGCAGAGAAAGTGCAGTTAATGAAGATGTGATTTGAATTTGTTAGATTTTTTTTACTTTGCATCACGTCTGCCTCGAGTTAAAGCACTGAATGAAACACTGATGAGGACGTTGTTAGTACAAAAACACAAACACATATAAAGTGTTCGAACTGAACGACTCCACGACTGTAACTCTCAACATGACTGTTTGGAAAATAAGTTTGCCTCTTTTTTTAGGTGCTGCAGCCATTTTTTAATATAGACATGAAGAAGCACTGACAATGATTTTACTTTTGTATTGATTTTAAGGATTTGCAGCAGCACCAGAGGACGCACGGAGGCTTTTCCTGTATATGTCATCAATTTACAAGTATTTATTCAGACTCAATACAAGCAGTATCCAGACATATGGTGAGTTTTTCTTTTTTTAACTTTTTTTTATGATCAAACTACGGTGGCTCTGAGGTGCAAAACACCAGCAAATCAGAAAACATAACACAAAAATAGAAAACACAACAACAAATCAGGAAACACAAGGACATTAACCATTGTGTTTTCTCTTTTGCTGTTGTGTTTTCTGATTTTGTTTTTGTGTTTTGCACTTCAGGGCCACCGTATCAAACCACAGCAAACTCAAGTGCTGCTAATATTTTTAATTCTCAGAGAGAACGAAGACATGATGATGCACTTTTGGTCTCCTTTTTACTTTTAACATGAGCTAAAAGGAATTCATGACACTACAGATTAACCCTGTCTGCTCTTTTTTAATGCACTGATCACAGTGGACGATACCGACTCAGCTATATATGCCTGCTTGTTTTACGATTGCACGTTTCATTATTCAACGCAAATGTTTTATGGACCATTAGGGCGGACAAACCTGTCACATGTAATCCATCCCTCACAACACAATAAGAAGAAAAGCTTGTGCAGAATATCTTCCAAACATTTGTGCGGTTTGCTCTTTTTAAGTGTTATGCAGAACGTGTTGCAAGTGTATGTGTGCGTGTCGTCGTTGTTGTGTAAGCTGTGCGCTGTCTTGTGTGTGAGCCACAAGCTCACCCACTGGTATGTTTTCAGCAAATTGACTGCCTCATTAACTGTGAATAAACATTGCACTGTAGCATTTCATATGTTGCTGCTTGATGTCTATAAATGGCATAAAAATGTGAGCAACTCAAAGCAAATGGTATTTTGTACTCATTGTGCCAAGGGGGGATGATGGGGGGACGTTCTTATTAGTTCAGTTTGTGTTTGTTCTGGAGTAACACTGGTACCTTTATGTTTTATGTAACTTAATGTAAATACTTTTAAATTTTTCTTTCCTTAATAAATTTTTTCACAAGTGTTATTTTGTTGCATTTGTTGTTTCAGATTCAACATTTAAGAATCAGATTTACATCAAGACATTCTCATAGTGCGTCTCAAAATGTGTTTTCTAGACTCATTGAACACAAACCAAATGTGTCTGAGATTCTTCTGTCAAGGTTTTGCTACTTATGACCTAAGGCTTCAAAATAAGATACCGAAAACATGTCAAAATACTTTATTTTGAAGTACTTTTGCTCATTTTTAGCAATATTTTAACTTTTTTTTAAATGCATTAAAGTGTATTTAGAAAAATTTAAGTCCTAACATAGTTTGTACATTATGAAAAGTAAATTTACTTTTCTTGACCATGACAAACAACTACCTAATTTTAAATACCTCAGGAGATAAATCTGCACGTTAACATGCTCTGCTGCGCTCCACATCTGTTGTCTTGGTCTGAGTGTGCAGGAGAGGATTTGGGTTTACATTTAAAAGGATATTCCAGCGCAAAATTAATTTAGGGTCAAACACAGTGAAACACCAAGTTAGACACCCCCGTCGAGAGATGAATGTTGTTGACCGCTTTCTTCTCTAGTTATACCAACTTTAGTAATGACTGCAGGATAGCAATACACAGCGGTCTGAGGAGCCATAAACAAACCTCAACCAAAACGCCACTCTATAGCCACAAATAATGCTCAGAACAGCACCTAACTTCATAAACAGTACATATAGGGTCCCAACCATAGCACTATCCACCAAACATCTTTTTAACTTTGCCTAATTTCTTTAGCAAAGAGACTAAACACAACTCAACTACTCTCTTTCAGCAGCTGCTTGTTTGTATCGAGACCTCAGGCCAGTCCATTGCGGACTGCTGTGGGGTGACGCAGCTCAAGGAAGAACATTTATGATAATTTCTTCATGGAAATACAATCAGACCGAGACGCTAAGATTGAGTGAGTTGTGTTTAGTCTCTTTGCTGAAGAAATTAGGCAAAGCTAAAAAGATGTTTGGTGGCTAGTACTATGGCAGAGAAACAACAGAGGATGCTGGAAAACCAGGAATACCAGGAAGAGCTTGACAATATGCATTAGCTGAAATGAAATACTGCTTCTTTTATTTATTTTATTGATCTTCATAGACAGATATCTGCGTGAGTGCGGAGTGCCAACATAAAAAACTTGTATATACAGCATATAAATATACAGTACAGATGATATGCACAGTTTATTCATCCTATAACATCACTAGTCATATTAGCAGCTGAAAATTAAGTACCAGTTATGTTTAGAGGGTCCTTTAGTGGATAGAAGTTTTACATCCCACACTCCTTCCAAACCTGCAATAAAAAGAACATTAAATAATATCAAAGCATGATAGAAAAAAGGTCGTTAAACAGCATTTAGTCAAGCAATCACCTGCACTGTACCTGAGTTGCTGCTCTGTGGACGATAGAGTGCCTTACAGCCAGTTTGTCAATGTCTCTGAGGTAACCTCCTCCAATAACAGCAGCGACAGGAACACCTCTGCTCACCACAGTCTTCAACACGTACAGATCTCTCTGATACAGCCCTGATGGACATCCACAGTCAGTGTTAGAAATCCAGAAATGATGGAGGGGACGATACTGTACGTCAAAGTTTTTACTCACCTTGGTCAGTCAGACGAAGCCTCCCGAGCTCATCTTCATGATGAGGGTCGACCCCGGCATCGTACAGGACGAGGTCTGGACGGAAAGTCTCAAGCAGCGAGGGTAGGTGGGCTTCAACTGAGGGAACACCGTCAGACATCCAGATTTTGATTTAGCTGAAAACTCTTTGACAAATTTAGTAAGCAGTATGCAGCATTATTTACATCTTAATACAGGATTCGAAAACTTGCCTGTGGAGAGGTACTGCTTGTCTTCCAGTCCGTCCTCCAAGCTGACGTCTAAGTCACTCTGTTGTTTCCGGAGGGGGAAGTTTTTCCCACAATGCACTGAGAATGTAAACACACATGGCTCCTCTTTAAAAATGAAAGCAGTGCCGTCACCCTGTTGAATAAAACAAACAGGAGTTTCATTATTAACAAACACAGGGCATTTCTACAACTACACAGTGTCATAAAAAGAAAAACAAGCTATCACTACCTGATGCACATCTAGATCCACAACAAGAACCTTCCTCTTGGGCGAGGAGTTGTCCATCAGGAGTTTAGCTGCAACTGCTAAATCATTGAGGAGGCAAAATCCTGAGCCGAAGCTCGGGAAAGCATGATGTGTTCCTCCCGCCGTGCTGCAGGCCAAACCCCTCTGCAGAGCCACTTCAGCCGCGAGCACGGTCCCACCTGACAACAAGAGGAATGAGGGGTTTAGAGTGATCTTTCCAGCCCAGTCAGCTGTGAAATCATCCGGAGACTTCCATTGTTCTCTCACCTGTTTCATACCGACAGCGTCTCACAATACCCTCACTCCAGGGGAAACCCGTCCTCCTCTGTTCCTGCTCATTTATTTTCCCGCTTATGAAGTTGTTCAAGTATTCTTCAGTGTGCACACAGCCGAGTAAGTCTTTAGAGGCTATTTCAGGAACCCAAACCTACTGTAAGAAAGGACAGGTGAATCCACAGGGACAAATGAGGAGATTACTTCTATTAGGTCCACTGCAATGATCATTTTAATCATAATATTTAAAATTATGAGTTAAATGTGCAGAAGAGATCATGTACTTTGCAGTGAATTACAATCAAAAGAGAAATTATTATTATCATTATTATTATTAAAAGACAAGTGGTCCAGATATTTAAAAGTCAATTTCAATTCAATTTGTTGACATCTGAAAACTTTGACATGATTTAATCAAGGAGTGAAATTATTGCAAATGTTGCTTCAGTCTAACCACATTTCATCTCAGTTGGATTTTTACATGTATTTCTTAGATAAACGAACTATTTGATCTCAGTAAAGAGTGCCTCACCTGAGTCTCTGTGATCACCTGGTCTTGGAGTAAACTCTGTAAAACTCGGGGAAACTTTCCCATGGGGAACCTGTGGTTCGGCGGAAGGTCACACACATACTTCCTATGATGAACGATGGGAAGTCCTCTGGAGTCAGGTCTTACCTGTGAGGTGGACATGAATGATCACGGTGAAGTCAGCTCTGAACCATTACTTTGTGTCGCTCTGTGTGTTGATTTGCAGTCTTACTATTTCAGCGTGGAAACTTCTGCAGGACGTGACAGTTCCACCGAGCAGCCGAGTTTTTCTAGACAAGATTTTTATCATGCAGGTCATGTCTCTGGTAAAGGGAGGTCTAAACTAACTCATGTGACAGGATAGAGAGGAAAAGCTGGAGCGTTATCATCGTATTATGAAACTACACAAACTCGAACGTGCTGAAGGTGTCCTGTTTGTTGACGGAAGTGAAACTGCGGTTATTCTCTTGTATTACCGCCACCTGCTGTCCTGGAGTGGACTAACACGCAGAGTTATATGGTTGATGAGTACCATCTGTAGATAAGGGGTGAGTACTGCAGATATTTAAACTGTTAAAACAATGTTGTGTGAGTCTGTGGTTAACATTCCTCCTGTGTTAGCTTTTCCTACCCACCCAGCATGTTAAGGGTCGGTTTTGACCCGTTCTAAATCAGCTGTAAATGACACTAAAAACAATTCTCTATCATCCAATTTGGCTCTCATCTCTAGGTTACCTTGTTAGGCTTCATCATCCATGAAAATATTGCTAATAATAGTTGTTGTTGTGGGCCTCTGAGCCTTTTTTTGTCAGTATACACCTCATACAGGCATCTATACTAAACTGATCTCGCATGTCTGGACATGCCCGACATTATTTTTGTGCAGAGAAAAACATGGCAAAATGAGAATTTCCTAAATCTCACAACAATTGGAAGAGGATCTGACTGTCACTGTGGCGCCTCAAAGTGCTCATATGATTTCTGTTTTTGCTCTAATTTTTAGAAATTGATCTAACCGGGTTAACAGCGACCATAACACGACAAGTGCCATAATTTTGATAAGAGCATTTTATAATTTAGCCTATTTACTTTTTGGGATTTATTGAAATAAAGGTTCCTGACAAAGTCATAAAAAGCTAATTCAAGTGTTTTTTTTTTTCAAGCATTTAAAATCGATATGGGGTTGGCGCAGACCCTAACACAGGAGGAGGTTTAAGATAAGGTGATATTTGATTGCATGAGTTGGTAAACTAATGTGAAAAATTTAGGTATCTAAATAAACACAAATGCATTAGAGTTAAAAATATTTAAAATAACTTAATGTACAGTATTGTGTAAAACGTGTAAGCATTATTTCACTTAGTTCTTGTTATATACAAACACCTCATTGCATTATATAATCTAACTTAAATTAATTCATTGTTTCAAAATTTTTAGATATTTTTCTATATTAATTTACAATTCTTATGTGGAGGATAATTTGAGTATTTAGGTTTCAAAGCTGTTTATGGTTAATGTCAATGATTATCTGATCTTTTTGGAAATGAATTATGTTGAAGTTTAAGGACTTCAGAAAAAATTGAACATGCATGAAGCAATAGATTTATTATTTTTAGTTACATCTCTAAAGCCTTATTTACTAACATGCATACTTTTCCTCATTTCACTTTAAGCTTATCAACCTGTTCCACCCAGTTTAATTAAAACTTGTAAACTGGAATTGAGTTGTCCCAGCGTCCGCTGTTGCTTCTCTGCCTTTACAAGTTCAGGCAAACCAGAACTTGAAATTGACAATATGCATCAGCATAAATGAAATACTGCTTCTGGCCAAAAATCGATTCAAAACAACTCAGAGTTTTATTGATCTTTATAGACAGATATCTGCGTGGGTGCAGAGTGCCAACATAAAAAAAAAAAAAAACTTGTATATACAGCATATAAATAATATACAGTACAGATGATATGCACAATTTATTCATCCCATAACATCACTAGTTGCATCGGCTCCTGAAAAACTGTGTGGAGTAGCACACAGAGTTATATGGTTGATGAGTACCATCTGTAGATAAGGGGTGAGTACTGCAGATGTAATAATGTACAAGAAGCTTAAAGCAGGGGATGAAGACTGTAAAGAAAAAGGCAGGACGAGTGTGTTTGATTTTTTAAAGTGTCAAATTTACGTAAACAAGTACTGAAAATGACAGAAGTTGTGGTAAGAGAGCTAAAAGGCTTTAGTTTTTTAGGTTTCCGCCTCTGTTATGAGCATTTCCAAAAGAAAATTAAACCATGGCAGATTTGACCGAGAGTATCCCATCTTATCCTATCATATCCAAAGACAATATTTGATATCCCGTCATACTCGATCTCATATCCTGTCATAAGTACTTAAATCCCCGGCAATTTTATTCATTATCATCAATATATTGATTCTCCAGACAGGATGGGTGGAGATATTTTTGGTTAAGTTATGATTTAAGAGGCTTTCTCACAAACTGTCCAACTTCTCTGCTGTATTTATCCACGGCAAAAAGAGCAGTTTCTTCAGAGTCAACTGGACTTGTCTGTACTCTAACCATCTTCCTCCTCCACTCCCACTCTCCCTCGGCTTTGTTCACCTCTGCAGCCTCCACAGTCACAGTCACCTCCCCTCCTGTCAGGCCTGAGCGTGCTGCAGCTGAAGCCGGTTGATCACAGCGGCAGAGAATCGTTCATGGTGTCACACTGAAATCATGTCAGGGTCTGTCTTCACTCCAAGGTGTGACAGTGTGAAGTGACAGAAGACTCTGTGGATGGGTGAGTGATGTTTGCTCAGAATAATGTTTTAAATCATCCAGGAAACCTTTTAATATTTCAAATCTCAGATAAAAGGTTTTTATTTTGAAGGAAATTTGTTTTTTTGTCTGGATTGAAAGTGTTTCTTAAGGTTAAAAACATGATTCTTTCTTTATCACTGTACCAAACTGGCCTTTTATGAGCGACTTTTGTGTCTGGTTTTTGTTTCCATCTGTATCTGTTTTACATTGCTGGCAGGCAGCTCAAGGCACTGTCTAGCATACTGTCGGCTGTGGGGTTCTCCCATGAGAGAGAGAGAGAGAGAGAGAGAGAGTGTGTGTGTGTTTGTGTGTGTGCCTGCTGGTTGGGGATTAACGCAGCCCCCTTTTGTTGAGGGCTGGTGCACTCGCAGGCAGATAAGAATAAAGAGGAGAGCGTTGGCCCCAGGTGCAGAGGACAGGTCTGCCCATAACAGAGAGAGGAGATTAGAGAGGTAGAATCGATTACTGACTCCAGCCTTGTTACTGACATTTCATATGTAAAGAGAGAGAGGAGAGAGAGGGAGATTCCCGTCATAGAGATTGCTCACTTTGTGTAGCAGACAAAGGTTGAATCAGCGTAAAGCGATGTTTGTTTCCCAGACCTTATTGCTTATTTTCAGATCCTATTTTCTAAATTTTTGACTGTTTTAAAGAATCATTGATTTCCAGAGTCATTGATTGAATATATTGAATATATCTTTAAACAGTCAGTATAGGGGTGTCCTGATACAATATTGATACTTGTCCAAATCAGCCAAAAATTGAATATCGGATTATATCGGCCTGCATCTAAAATCTCTGATATCATCAGTCCGATACAAGCAGTCCATTCCAGACTCCACTCCAGCACCTTTGTCTAGCAGCACCTGGATCCAGCATGTAGAACCCACAAAATCACAACAACAGTGTGTACTAAGGTACTAACAAAGTAGCAAGGAGTAGGAGTGATGTCGGCTGTGTGGCAGTATCTTTCGTTTAAGTCCGAAAAAGACGTTGCAGCTGAGTGCAAAACTCACCATGCACATATTTGTGCTAATATTGGATCAATATCGGTATCGGCCAATATTGAAGGCTACAATATCGGTATTGTATCAGAGGTAAAAAAAAAAAAAAAAAAGTTGTATCGGGACAGCCCTTAGTCAGTATACAGTTTTTCCTCTGCTAGTAGATTATAGAGAATAGAGCAATCATTACACGGGTAAAGTCAGGCAGATTTGTTTTCATTCAATAATGTAACAAATGAACCTGAAGGAAAGATTTTCCTTCCATTAAGAAATCAATAAAACAAACAAAGGCTGCCTCCAAGTCCACAAATCAATAAAGGAAAGACTGAACTGAAAAGGTCAACAAAATAAAAGTATGCATGATTTGTGTGCGCTTTAAAACCTGCAAACACACCGTCGTTAGTCCTTTGAGGTGTCACAGCGGGAGCAGAGAAAGCACAGCTGACAGTCAGCTGTGAAGGAGCAGCAGTCGCCTGCTGCAGGGCAACTGTTTGTAAGTCCTCCGGCTCTGCGTCTCATTCCTGCAAAGACAAAGAAGAAGCAGCTGCTCAGCTTTGATCTGATGTTTCTCTCTCTCCTCTTATGGAGTAAAATAACAGCATCATGACTTCAAGCAGACCAGTTTTGCTTTTGTTTTGTTGACATAAATTACAGTCAAATTATTTCAGCGGTCACAGAGTTATTTCCTCGTCTTTAAAGTACCTCTTTAAGTTTTTGATCTTGAGGAGTCTCATGTGAACTTGTTGGATCATACATATTGTCTTTGGTTCACACATGTGGTGTATCGATGATTTGCTGCACGCAATGTGTGTTTAACAGAGAGAATAACCCCATCATCTCTGGACGGCCTGTCATCTTGGCATGTATTTTCACGTTCCTCAGAGCAAACATGTTTGTTGTCCAACCCCAGAAGGGGAAAGGGCGGCGTTGATGTTTGCATCAGACTCTGGATTCAAAACCTACCTGTCAATTACACAACATCACAATCACAACATTCAGCCCGCAATCCCCCCGTCCCTCACCTCCAGCTCATTGCTCCGAGCGGAAGGAATTTGCTGGTGGATTGCGAGTGCTGGCAGAGCGTGTTGCAGCAGGCGAGGACAGGGGTTGTTGTTGGAGTGAATTAATTTGTAGCTGCTCTCAGAGAGTATGTGTGTGTGTGTGTGTGTGTGTGTGAATGTATGTGTGATAGTGACAGCCTGCTGTGTCGTCCCTCCGAGGCAATCCCCCCTCGGGTCACAGAAAAGGTTGAGCTGATTCATGCCTCATGCATCCTATAGTGCTCCTGTAATCACAGACTAGCTGTGAGACAGGCTGTGAAGTCATCATCGTGCAGTGAGTGGTATAATTCACCGTCATTACAAATGTTTACTTCTCCCGTCAGTATCACTGGAAATGACATCTTCTCCCTGAAGCATCACTGAAGTCTATCTTTGTGGTTAACGATGAAGGCAGCTTTCCTCGTGTGTAGTTAAAAAATGATAACATTAAAGCAAACTGGTTATTAGATATCATGAAGAGAAACAGAAACAAACTTTTGCCAAGCCTCAAAGTTTTTCAGGTTTTTTGGAAATGTCATGAGTATTTGAGCGATCATTGCTCTGCAGGTGTTGGATAAGTGGTTTGCTTGTATGACATTTTAGAGACTTGAGTATTT